GTATTCTATTTTAGTTTCTTCAACTGTTTCCTTATTAAAATTTTTTCCTATATAGAATCCTATTATTATTCAGTATATGAAATCTATTTGGGATTCAAGTCTACTTTGATAAGTTTCTCTTCAGTTTTCTTTGTTTTCATCTTCAGTATATACAAGAGAGTATTTTAGATAGTTTATGTCTTTGATTTCTGAAACAAATTTGTTGATATAATAGTCTAATTTTCTAAGTATATTTATTAGAAAAAAGATAAAACTTGTTTCTTTTCTTTTGAGAAACAAAGAGGTTGTAGAGTATCCTATTCTGTTAGATTCTAGTCTTAAAATTTCTTCGTAGTATTCTTCTTCTATGTCTTTATATATTTCTTTAAAGTACTTTTTTGTTTTTTCTATAGTTGGTTTGTACTTGGGGTTTTTTTCCTTTTTCTTTTCTTTCTATTAATTTGTAATAAAGATCAAAATATTTTTTTATATTAATTTTATTCCACCTTGTCATCTAATTATTGTAACTCTTTGAGTAATTCTTAAATTTTTTTGTTAATTAGGTCTTTAGCTTTTCTATTCTTTTCAAACTGTTTGACTCCTTTTTTTGATAATCAAGCTTGTATTTTTTTGTCGTATTCAAAAAAGTAAGTTGCTCCTTCTAGCGAGTATAAATTTCTAACAGTATTAATTATATAGGTTGTAATTGATTCTAATTCGTCTGGTATTAAATAAACTTCTCTTTGAGCTATTGGGTCTTGTATTTTTTCTTGAATTTCATCAAATACAGTTCTAGTTCCTAGTTGTGACTGTACAATATTTAGTTTATTTAAGTATTGCTTTTGTACTGCAGTTGATTCGTAGTTAAATATAATTTCTTCAGTTATATTTATTAATGTTGATAGTTGTTTTACAGCTTGTAATAGTATTAGGATTATTTCTATCTGATTATTGTTTGTCAGTTGGATTCTTCTTTGGAGTCTTTCAATGGTTTCAATTATATTGTTGATTATTTGTTCTTTAGTTCTTTGGTCAAGTATTTCTTTTGCTGTGTCAAATTTTAATTTTCTATGTAAGAGGTTCCAAATAAATTTAAATTTTCTTTGTTGTATTATTCTTTTTATCCTTTGATATATGTTTGTATTATTGTTCATTAAGTTCTTTTAGGTATTCTTTTCTTTTAAATAAATGATATTCAAATCTTTCAATTTTATTGTTTACTTCTTGTATATTTTTGGTTCTGTTCCCTTGGGTATTATTAAAAAGCTATTAATATTTAAGATATTATTTTTTTGTAATGCTTCAAGTCTTTGTTCAAGATCTTCGTCAGTTAGTTTTTCTAGATTGTTTTTAATTTCTTTTAGAGCTTTCAAGTATGTTTCTTCTTCAGCTTCTTTTTGTTCTTCAGATATTCAGTTTTGGCAATTAAATATTTTTTTCAAACTTAGCTATAGGATTATTATTCTGTTAATTTCGTCTAATACTAATAATAAACAATAATTTTTATTTGTTCCCTCTTTTAATTGTATACAGGAATATTTGTTGTTTAAGTTTTTGATTTGTTTAATTATTTGTTGGTATGTTAGTTCTATTAATAAGTCTAACTGAATTATTCCTTGTAAGTCTTCAAGATATTCTTTTAATACTTGAGTTGTTTGGTTATATCAATCACAATTCTCTGTAGTCATTAAACTCTATTTTAAATAGATTTTCTTGCTGTTTTATTGACACGTATTTAATTATTAATTCTGATATTTTATTTACTATGTAGCACACTCCTACTACTAGCAATACATCTTTTAATAAAAGTATGAAGTATATTGATACTCTATCATATGCTATAGCTGTTAGAGCAAAGTGGTTCATGCACAAAAGAGTTGTGTTTATTAATGGTAATAAAAATAATTCTATTAATTGTTCCAGATTGTTATAATTGTTTTAATAATTCCTCAATATATTCAAGTATTTCACCATCTATGAATTTCAAAGCTATCTCTTTTATTTCATCTTCAAATATTTCTTAAGTTATTGATAGTATAATAAGAGTTGTTTTCAGGTATATTTATTTATATGTTGATTCAATATTTGATTCTTTTGAGAGTATTAGGTTTTTGTATTCTTCTAATAATTCTTGTATTTTTTCTTTCTAATACTTTTTAGTCCTTGGCATTCACTCTTCATCTTATTGTTATTGGTGGTCTTTGTAGTCTCATAATCCTTCGATTAATTTGGGAGTATACGAATTCTGGTGTCATCCTACAGTCTTTTAATTGTGATATTTCTCCTATAGTTGTATATACTAGATTATGGTTATTAATTCTATTGATTGTTGCTTGTTGAAATAAAATATTATGCTGTAGGTTAATATATGTAGCAGCATTTCTTGTAAGTGTTCTCAAGAATAGTTGGTGTGCGATTAAATCTTGTTCTACTAATATCCTGATTTGTTGTGCAATTTCTAATGTGTTTTGTAAAAATATGATTACTTTTGTTTCTTGCATTTGTAGAGGTGGTAGTTGCCTAACTTGTCTTCTTGTAGTCATTCAAGTTTTTAGTTATTGTTTCGTGTATTATCCACTTAAATCCTTTTTTAGGTCTAGGTCCTCTTGAAAAGTATTTCTTTGTGTTTATACACGGCTAATCACATGAATTATACTGAGTACATGTTTGGATTTTGATATTGTATTTACATCTTACTTTCTTTTTTTGACAATAATTACAGGCTTGTATTGCTTATTTCTTTTTTCTTTTCATTTACTATCTGAAGTGTCAGGTGTTTCTCTTAATGGTATTCCTTGGTCTTTTAATGATTCTTTTATAATTTGTTTTTCTTTGAATATTTTTGTTAGTATTGACTGAAAATCTAGTATCTTTTTGTTAACTTTATCAAGGTTTTTTAGTTTATATGTTTTTTTACAAATTTCTTTATACTTTTACAAATTGTACAAGGTATTTTTTGGTCACAGGGTAGTTTATGTGTTTTACAATATCTGCAAGTAGAGTATTGTTCTCTTATTTTTTGAAAGAGGTAAACATTATACAAGTTTTATTATTTAAACATAATAATAGTTTATTTACCCCAATTAATATTTAAGGTTGAAAATCAACATAAACATGGTGGTGTCTCAGCAATTTCAGTTTATGGAATATCTGAAGATCCGAATAATGATAATTATATGATTGTTATGCAGTGTGCAACGCATGGAAGTCTTCGAAAATTACTAGATCGCAAATATTATGACTTAGATTGGAAGAGTAAAGTGATTAGCTTATGTTTTATAGCTGATGGGCTTTGCACAATTCATGAGGCAGGATTAATGCATAAAGATTTTCATTCAGGGAATATAGTTAATATAAATATGTTTAATCCCCGCATTACTGATTTTGGTTTATGTAAACCAGTATCTCAGGACTCAAGTATTAAAGGAGTTTTTGGTGTACTCCCTTATATAGCTCCAGAAGTGTTGCATGAAAAAAAATATACTCAGCGATCAGATATTTATTCTTTTGGAATAATTATGTCAGAAGTTTTTTCAGGGTATCCACCGTTTCATGATGTCCCGTTCAATGAAGATTTGGCAATTCAAATTTGTAATGGTCGTAGACCTGAAATCAGGAGTAAAGTTCCTCAGTTACTTTTGGACTTAATGAATAGATGCTTAGATGCTGAACCTCAAAAACGGCCAACTGCTAAAGAACTGTTCGATGTACTAAAACAATATCTAAAAGATCTAATTAATGAGAAAACCGAATTATATAAACAAGTTAAAATAATTGAAAATTTAACAAGAAATTTACCATCTTGTCGATCTAATTCAATACGACTCAATTATCAGACACGTAATATTTATACAAGCAAGCATTTGAAGTTTCAGAAACTTCCTAAACCAATCAATGCAGGTAATAATTTTATTTGCATTTTCAGAGAACTGTTTAGTGTATATTAACATATTTATGTTTGTAATAAATTTCTTGAATTAATCCTTAAAATATAAAAAAATTACATTAATATATTTTTAGATTTCATAAGTAAACCACTTGACTCTATTGAGGTTCCCGAAGGTAAGCACTAGATTAAACTTGTTTAATACGTAATCAAAAAAATTCAATTTTATTTTATACTTTACACTGTAGATATTTAAATTATAATGCAAATAGGCCAGCACATTTATCATTTTTTTATATTGGTAGTGGATTAGATTAGGATTTAGAATTAGATTTGGTATTAATAAGTAATTTTAGTAAAATATAAATTTTAAATAGTAATCCAACTTTTAGCATTAGCTGCAATTATAATGAACCAAATCAGATTATTAGGTGTAGGATTGAACCTAAATTTTATTAAGTTAAAATTTGATCGAGATATGTTTGATCAATTTATTAAATTTTAAAAATAGAAAATTTTTTATCACAAAATTTATTAGTTATATAATTAACAAAGTTTAAAAATATGATTTATATATATTTATATATATAATTACATAGTATTTAATCAATTTATTAGATCTGTGACATCCTTTTATTTATGACAAATTACAGAATTAAAATCGATGTTACTTAGTGTCTTAAAAAATTTTTTTTTCTATTCAAAGAAATTGCTATTAAAAATGAAATAATCTTTTTGTATTATTTCAAATAACACGCAGAACAAACTTACTCGTAGGGATGTTACCTACAGCAAATCACGATTATTTTTGGACCACATGCACGTGATTCACATATCGTGCATTGGTAAGGATACGTACCTCATAAGAGGACTTTCGTCTGATTGGCTGATATAAATCAATTGCTCGGGTAACTTATTATACACTTTAAAGTACTTTTTGGGACACAACATTTTACTAATAAAAAATTACCACAAAATATCGTTTATAACTTCAACGAAGTGTCAATATTCAGTGCGCAAAAAATCAAAAAAGAATCAAACTCCCGAAGAACTTTGCTTATCTGGGTTTATGGTTGAGTTTGTTCGGATCTTGCAACATTTTTGGTTTGTTAATCGTAGATAATAGATTTAGATTTTATTGATGTTTTAAGTTAATTGAAAAGCTGGAGCCAATATCTGCTTTAATGAACTCTTGATTTTCTGGAGGAATAAGAATACACCATTGAATTGATTTCTGTTTAGAACCAAAATTCTCATTTCCAAAATTCTCATTGCCAAAATTCTCTTCGTTAGTTCTATTAGTAAATCCAGGATCATATACATTGACTCTAACCTCTCTTTTTTCATCATCATAGCTTTTAAAAGTTGCAATGAAATTCGGCTCATAATTCGACAAAGGGTATGTAATGACGTAAAAAGAATTGAATCGGATGATAAATCTTTTGGAGATTTTAACATTACATCCCAATTGTTGCCGTTGGTTATTGGTGTAATTAAAATGCTATCGAAAGCGATTATGTTAATGTCTCGTGTATTTGTACTGAAGAATCCAACTTCCGCAGGTATTCCAATCAATATCCAATTTATTTGCAAGCGCATGAATCTTGTTTAAAATAAATTATTATTAAAAAACTTAATTTATATATATATTAAATAATCACTTACTCAGTTATTTCAAAATTTTTAATATTTGCTGAAAATCCATATTTATTGGTAGATTTGAATTTGATAACTACTTCAGAAATTGGCTCTCCATCAGATTTCACAAGTTTTCCAAAAATTTGATAGTTATTAGACTTAAAATTAACGGGAAATTTTACTCGATACTGATAAGCACAATCTTCTATTGGAATTATTCCTGTGATGGGTACTTTCTCTTTGACTCCGAAAGTTCTCGCTATATCATCAATTCCAAGTATAGATTTGATCTTTTTTTGAAGAGATTCATCAAATATTTCGTATAATGGATACAGTTCTTTCCAGTTTATAACACGCAATTAATCAATACTATTTTTTAAACAGCCAGTCATCCACATATCAAGTTCATTCCTCATGATTGTTTCTCCATCAACTGATACTAAATAAGTTGCATCAAAATGTGGTGTTATACAACATTCCCATTTATTCAAAATATTGTCACACTTTGTAAAATCTTTAACGCTGAAATCGATCTCTGGAGTAGATAGTTCTAGTGAATCTTTCGTAATTAACGGTGTCATCCTATATAGTTTATATCCAACAATGATCCTTTTGGGCAAAAAATGTCCATAGGTTTCAAATATTTTCATTAATTCGTAATGCGAATTATGATTTTTCAGGGACTCTATTGCCATGGTGTATAACTTCGAAAATGTCCCTATTTGTTCTTTTTCAAAACTTATTTCAGCTTGCGGGTATTGCATTTCCAGATAAACACCACTAGTATCTTTTGTTGAATTGGATATTCTGTAAACATCAGATAACCAAATACGATCCTCTTGACTAATAGCAGACGGATCTATATATTTTTCTTATATTGCCAAATTCATAGGCTCTACAGGTTTTTTGTAATGTTTAAATTTTTCATTTTTTTCAACAACTTTATTTGACATAAGGTAATTGAAATAATCATCTTCCAGAGACTTCGCGTAAGTATCATGTGGCTCCTCCTCTTTCTTGAGGCTATTTTTTGAATCACCTGGATTTAGAATTTAACAACTTATAAGATAAATGAAGAATATACTTGGAAATTTATACTATTAGAGGGATATATTTTAAAGTCATTAAATTTAAAAGTCTATTTAATGAAATTTTTATGAAACAAACTAACATATTTTTTTAAAGTTAAAAATTAAAATTTACCATTTTTAAAGATGGGTATGATGATTGGATTGGAAACTATTCAATTGAAAGTTTTTTACGAAACAAATTAATATATTTTTTGAAATCTGACCATCCTTTGAATCCTTTAAACCGTCTTTCAGGCAAATTTGCTTGCAAATAGTCGTAAATGATCTGTATCAGATTGCAATATATTGCAGCATATTTCAGGCATAATTATTGATAGTAAGACAGTTTAAAGGACAGAAATATAATTAAATTATATGTATTGTTTTGCTTCCTGTAAGATTTTATCATTAAAATTAAAACCTACCATATTTTGAATCGTTTGATTCGGAATCTATTTAATTGAAAATTATTTACGAAATAAAATTAGCATATATTTGACTTTTGACTCTAAGAATTTAACTATATTATAAATATTATTTATTCTGTAAAATTACCCGAAGGAGGATTCCAAAATTCTATAAATTTGAATTTACGTTAATCATACGAATGACAGGAAATCACTTCATCGTTATCTAAACGATTAATTACCTTCTCGTGGTATTGATCTTGGCATAGCACAAGGAGGTTGTAAATGCCTAATCATTTTTTCATACATCTCTTCATATTCTTTTATCAATAGCGATAAGTCCGGCCTTTTTGATGAATCTTCATCCCAACATCGTTCCATTATATTTTTATAAACTTCTGGAGTCCCCTCTACGACTTTTGGACGAAGTTTCTTGGTAATGGCTCTTATAGCTAAATTTTGATCATGGGACTGGTCTGAAAATGGTCTCTCAGAATATGCTAATTCCCATATAATTATTCCTAAACTATAGATGTCTGATTTTTTTGTATACTCTTTGCCACAGAGAACTTTTGGTGCAATATAAGGCAAACAGCCAATAATACCGTCCATTTCTATGAAATATAAATTGGTAAGTATAATAAATGTAATTTTTAAATTATACCTAAACAATATAATTACTTGATGAATTTGCAGAGCTTGCAAGTCCAAAGTTGGTAATAAATATTTTTGTATCTTCGTCAACGAGGATATTTCCGCAATGAAAATCACGATGAACTATATCTAATTCGTGAAGTGCATTTAAGGATTTCGCGATTTTAGAAAGAATCTCTACTCTCTTTGGCCATGTTAGTTCAGACTTTTCAATAAATCTCCTGAGATCACCATGAATTTCGTTAAACCATAGAAAGGTATAGCACATATTCCAAGGCATTGGTAATGTATTTTAAACTATAATAAGTGATTTAAAAGAATAATAGTTTACTATTGCGTATTTGTGAATGACAATGAATAATCGAATTATTGATGTTTATAATTACTTCATTAAAAAATTTTGGTCGCAAATTTTTAGATCCATTCAAAACTTTAAGGACAATATTTATTGACTTTTATCATCGGCAACTCCATCATCTTATTATAAAGTAAAGGTAACTGGAAATATTTTTATTTAAAGCTATTTTATTACGTTAGATTTAGATAAACTTTTACTTTTAACTGTTTAATTTAAATAGGTACAAGCTTTTAGTAATAGAAGATCTGGGCTTAATATTTAAATTTGGTCAGTTCTTGTAGTGCTTTTGGGCTTGTCAACCATATATTAATAGTTATAGTTTATGTATTGTACGTAGATCTTATATGTAGATTTTTTAATGAGTTTGGGTTTATTAATAATAAATATTGCATTTATCTACTTTACATATATCTATCTATTCTCTAAATATAAGTAATTTGTTCTTTTATATATATTTATTAGTTTGTAGGCTTCTTTATTCGAAATTTTGCTTCATTTTCTAGTACAGTCTTACCACTTTATAATTACACAGTTGGGATCATAGTAATTTTTTTAAAAAATGTGCCTATAAAGAGGGGTGCTTATATAGAGGTTTTTATATATATATTAAATAATAATTGGGTTCAAATAGAGGTGTGATTATAAAAAGGTTTTTATATGATGTGATTATATAGGAGGCATTATAAAGAGGGAAGACTATATATATTGTAGTATTAATAAAATTATGTATTTTGATTAGTTAATTATCACAGGCAATAATAAATAGATATACTAAAATTAACTAATTATATGAATATCTCACTATGATATTATACTATAATCATGCACTAGATAACTAGCAGATTTTTAATTAAAATAATATAAAAAATTTTTTTATAAATTGTATAATAGATCTACAAATAAGGCCATACAAATTTAATTACTTGGTTTTCATAACATGAAATTTTAAAAATAGACCCGGCCGGCCGGCTTTTT